AGAATAATGTCGAGTTTATTGAGAAAAGTATCAATCCACCAAGTTGTCCAGTTTTTCATCCCATTGAAAATTTTTGGGCAATTATCAAGCGCAAATTGAATAAATATGGCAAAAGAATCAAAACACCATCTGATTTGGAGAAGTGGTGGAAAAAGGATGGTAGATGAGGTTAACAGTACTACCAACAATCAATACGAAACTAACGATTTTAAATTGGCTCACTACTTGACTAGCCTATTGGTCCCAAGCAAATCGATTACGTACTCCATTCTAGTCAAAATTCTAGTACTACACAATGTTTGTTTTGATTCGCTATGAAAGTTTGACAGATAAAATGAGGGGTTATTGGATTTTCCAATGTTTCGAGGGGTGATTCGACTAGCTTGGGCCGAAGATAGAACCAGAGCTGAGCCAAAAAGTTGAGTACGTTATTTCGGGACCTTCTAGTCTTAGAGTTACCTCTATGGTACTACTGTGCAAGACATGATGAGAGGTATTCCGCGAAAAGCTCAAAAATTCAACCGAAAAGTTGACGAATGATTATTGTTGTGTTCTTCCCTTAATGCTAAATAAAAATCATACAAAATGATACCTTTAGCGTTTTGGTACTTTATTTCCCCTTGGAGAAATGACCTTTTTTGTGCGACCGAATTCTTAATGGAACAGACTTTAATTGTATTACTTATTTTCTTCTGTTTTCAGAAACTATACCTGATTTGGATACAACAGTCAGTTTCGAATCGATTGGCAGCACTATTGAAATCATCTCCAATCACCTCCAAGGAACGGGAAAGAAATCATCCAGCAATTAAAAGAAAAAAATGTGAAGACTACTGATAGTAACGAGAAGTATAGGATCCTTATTACTTTACCCAAAAGCTGGTCAGCTTACAAAATTGTAAAGGAATTCGCAGTTTCTCGATTCATGGCAGACCGGGCAAAGCACTTGCAAGATCAAAAAGGTATTATGACAACAACATGAAACCCAGGAACATCTTCATTGGGCGTCGATACCATACGTCTTGTTCAGGATTTTTTTCAATAGCAACATGTGAGGCATGTCCCGGAAAAGGTATTATGTCCAAACAACCGATGAAGGAGATAAAGTTTTTGTGCAACGAATATTAGTGCTCTGTAATTTGCGAGAAGCTTAATCTATTTTTAAAGAGGAACATCCTGCATTAAAAATTGTTTTCTATGTTTGCGAGCAATCGTGCTAAGTACTGCATTCTGTTGCGATATAATTAACTAAAAAATAAATAAGTAAATAAATAGTCTGCATTTATTTCGAGAAAAGAAACACAAGTCCTAATGAAGCAGGTGGCGATTCGAAAAAAGACAAGAAACCTATTCCTGAATCACAAACCACAAAGCACTTGTCACAGTGAGAAGCCCAAACAGGTAAAAAATCAATGACTCAATAACACACATCATTACTTTACTAACATAGCTGAAAGATATGGACAGTGTTGGAAATATCGCCAAAAGTTCATTATCGCAAGCGAGATGTTTTCACTAGAGAAATTATCGATGGGAATTTTGCAAAGTGGTCAGGGGTTGAAACAGTTGATGTTTTTACTACACTCGTTTCGTTTTCGTGCGTGACAGTCTGTTTGTATTCGTACACTCATGCTCTACCGTCGTCTCTCTCGCAAAACACAAACGGTAGAATAACATTCGAGAAAAAAGAAAATTATCAAATAACTATCATATGTGTGATTTCGTTCTAATTTCTCAATTTGGTGTAAATTAAACTATTTCTGATCAGAAATGTTGCTACTACACACTAAGATTTTTTTTTTCGTGATCGGTAAATTTTACCGAAATCAAAACAGCTGAACGTTTGGTAAAACTTTGACCTTCATTTTAAAGGCTATTGAATTTGAAAATAGTTTCAAAACATGTTAAACCTTGTTTAAATTATCAAATCTTTTCATTTTAGTGGAGATTTAGTTTCAAAGTAGCTGAAAAGCAATTGAACTGAATTGCATAAATTTTACCGAACAGTTGAGGCAACCGGTGAACACTCGTGTTTATTTCAGTTACCGTGGGGACGTAATTTGTGATTAGCCCCGGTCCCTTTCAAATTGTATCATTATTATTGTACGGTCCTTATATTTGAAATGACGTTTCACATTCATCTAGTGATGGCCGATTTTCATTCGAATAATCGATTAATCGAACAGTAAAATATGTATTTGTAATCGGTTATATCATGCCAATATAAGCATTAACTTCTGCAGAGGATCATCACCGATCGTTTCAAACAAGTTTTGCACTCTCATTGGTGGTAAAATGACAGCACAGCGAATAAAAAATAATCGATTAGTTGTTAATCGAGTAATTAAAAAATGGGACACCTCTGATTTTGGTGTGATTGTTTTGATAAAAAAGCGCGCAAAATTTCATCTCTACCGAGGGGGCAGCAAAACCACAAAATTACCTTGGATACTGGGGGTATTCATTGGATGAAAGGGACCGTGAAAGAGGACACTAAAATTTAATGTTTTTCTTCCGACAGTTTCATCTTAGTATTCATCTTTGGTTCAGGTGTTCAGATTTTGGTAAAAATTGCCGAAGTCGGTGATAATTTCTAAGTGTGTAGGACATAATTGCTTGCTATTTTCAGAATTCACACAAGCACAACATCAGCAGCTCTTGTTATAAGAAAAACTAAAATACATACATTCGTGGCGGTTTTCGGCGACAGTGACGTATGACAGAGCATGGCATATGACATTTTAGTTTGGTACTGTACTATGATAGCTTGTTTTGCAAGGGTCGGAGGCAACGGCAGTCGATTATCACAAAAAAATATGTCGACTACGGTGATCGCTTACAAGACTGATTTGTTTTGCTTGCATCCGATGGTGTAGTCCGTATTGGCCATCATAGACGATAATTGTGTCATATCGATTCAAAAGTGGATTTTAGCGACCAAGTCATGCGGTGACCAACAGTATGGTCCTTCGAGCCGGATTATCCAGAAAACCGAACAAAGGACACCGCCAGCGTTGGTCACCGCATGGCTTGGTCGCCAAAATGGAAAAATTGCAGAAGAAGCTATTGTGGAGGCATACAATTAGCAGCCATCACTGCGGCACAATCTATTACCTCATCATCTCCATTGCACTTTTGAATCGATATGACACAATTATCGTCTATGATGGCCGATACGGACTTCACCATCGGATGCAAGCAAAACAAATCCTTCATATAAGGGACGTGTGAATACTGAAATCTCCCCATTCACTGGATTTGCATTCACACTACAAAGGATCACCCACCTCTACTACAGCATTGAGCCTAGGTGAACGGCCAGGTCACCAACAAACACTGCTTGGAGTGAATGTCAACAATAACATCTCACAACGAACAGTATGGATTCCACAACACGGTACACCCACGATGTGATCGGATACAGTTTGGACACAGATCGAAGAACGAACACCGCAGCCGCACATAACAACAAACGTCACTGTACGCAACTGATCAGTGGAAAATTGGTTGAGTTCCGTTCCACTTTCGGATTTGTATACGGATTCGGATCGGACCGTATCTCCACTATCGTATTCTCTCGGACTTGGAGCAATATTGGTTCTACGATGACTTCACACCTACTGATTCTCCCTTATCACGGATCAGATGGAATCGGGAAGCTGCACCTACTTGGTCAGGTAAGCAGCTTACACGTATATGTCTAGCCGAGCTAGGCATTACTTTCATGGCACTAACGCCAACCATCCTTTCTCGAAAATCATCTACGGCGTGACGTCACCACCGTTTGGCATACTACCACGGAAACCTTGGAGACAACGCAACACACGGAACAGTTTCGCTTTCCATTGGTATGAAGACAGGCAAACGGCTCATCGATCAGCTGATCGTTTGAAGAAGATTTCAATTTGCGCTGACTCTGCCTGATCTGTGAATGGAATGGTTTCGTATAAAACCGGACTTTCGAATTCTACGAAGCCATAGCCACGTTTGATCAATCGAGCTGGGTTGATCACCATGGTCTTCATTCTCTGCCTGGTCTGAAGATCGTTTGATGTAACGGAAGGGAATCACGAATTGTTCAGCATGGACCAATAAACATCACCTACCACTATCCAATATCATGCACCTACACGGAAATTTTACATCAAGATATGGATGCAATCGCAGGATGTTTGATGGCATGATATCACTAGGAGTGCTGATGGATCCAAATCCAATTAGATTGCAAGGGGTGTTCGATTGTTTATCAAGGCGTCAGACACAAGGGTGTTTATTTGTCACACCACAGCTTGAGTACACAGGGTACTCAATCAATATCCAAGCAGGCACAAGGGTGTCTGCTACCTATTCCATGGTTTGGGCACATCGGTGCTCATTACCAATTGCAAGGCTATGATACGACGGTGTCTATTCGCCAATCCAAAGATTGAGTACTAAGGGTGCTCAATTTCTCATCCCAAGCTAAGACACAAGGGTGTTCTAGCAAACTCCAAGGGTCGCGCACAAAGGGTGTTCGAACCACTTCCAAGGCAAGGACACAAGGGTATCCTCCAGCCATCCCACGGTTTGTTCACAAAGGGTGCGCAAACTCATCCAAGACAAGAGTACAAGGGTGCTCAAAGCCAATCCCCATAGACATGGGGCAAAGGGTGCTCAAATCCAAACACCACGGATTGGGTACACAGTGCCCATGGATTAGATACACTAGCTTGGACATAACGGATGTTCAAGTATAATTCCTACCGGACACTGGGTGTCCACGGATGATTCAACAATTAAGGTTGTTGGCACTAGGGGTGTCTGCAGTCTGCCTCTCGGATCCAGGAGCATTCCATTCAAATCAGAAAGATAAATCAAATCGTCTTAATCGTCACTGGTCGGATGGTCCCATATTGGCACAGATATGGATAGTTGGTGACAATCCACAAACATTTGGCATCAACATTCGAATTGGAGGAAATCTACAAATTCGTTCTACGAGTTTCAATTCCGTCCTAACGAACTAACGCATCGGAACAAACCTAGTATTGGTTTGTGCACGGTGAAATCATTGATATTATTGATCTTTTCTGATCGATAGAACGGAAATGGGCACTAATCCAGCATTTAGTTGTTCGGTATTTTTTTATACTGGGCTTGCACCGTAAAACGACATTTTTACTGAAAATTCAGTTCAGATACAAAACACTGTACACAGAATATAAATTTACTGAGAAAATGGTAATTCTTAATTTTTCGAGATTTCACGAAAAGTCAGTAAAATTAAATACTGTGCACTAAGTAGTTCTTATTGTTTAACTGGCCAGTAAGCAAAATGATCAGTTTATTTTACCGACCAAGAATTGTAAAATTATAAGCTGTCAATTTTTTAACCGCCACCAGTTTGGCTCCAGAAAAATCCGGAAGCAGAATGGATCCAACTACGTACGAGTATGAATAATTTGGCTTATGGTTTGTGAAAAAAATGTTTTCTTTTCGTTTAGATGAACAATCCAATACCAACATCAAAAGCCCAACATTTTTCGTCCGTGAAAAATTTCCAGAAGACATCACCGATGGAATTACCTCCTGGAAGAACGTGACTGTTCCTTGGCAAAGGAATGTTTCCATAATGTTGTGAATGTCTCTGTTTTCAATGTTGACTGCACCGAGCGGCCGAGCGACAAGCAATAATTATTCTTGTATTCCTTAAAACAGCTTTTATCGGGTTGCGGGAAACCAACTACGAGTTTCTCCGTAGTTAACATTGATTTTATGGATAACAGCAACCCTACCAATTCTACACGGCGAATGAGAACGACTCAAATTTGAGTTTAGTTCACTCATAATCGCCAAAAGTGCAGGAACTCAGCGATGAGTAAAATTTGTCTCATGGTTTCCTGTGGAAAACCTAAAAAATCTGCCGGAAAATGAGGAAACTACTTTTCTCAAATTCTGGAATTTTTCCCTGGAAAAACCTGGAAAAACATGAGGCAAATTAACTCATCGCTGAGTTCCTGCACTTTTGGCGATTATGAGTGAACTAAACTCAAATTTGAGTCGTTCTCATTCGCCGTGTAAATATATGAGAAAAAGTAATGCAAAATTTGCAAACAAAAATTGAAATAAATGAGTTTCATGTGCGTTCAATTATTATTAGAATGCAATGTTTATTTTAATTAAGCTTTTAATATAACTGGGTTACCCGGTACAAGCATGCACAAAATAACTGACTTGCCAGTTTAATTGTGACAAAATAACGATCACATTTACTGGGCTTTCCAGTTAATATTGCCGAAGGCAACTCGCATAAATTACTGGATATACAGTTTTTTGACACATTGACTTTTACGGACAGTTCGGCAATGATTTGTTTTGCTGTGATCAGCGTTGCCAGGTCATTTTCAAAAAAAAATCTGGATCTGGTAAAATATAAAATCTGGAAAAATCTGGAATGCTCAAAAAAATCATCTTTTTCACATAATGCTATTGAAATGTGCATGTGATGTGCCAATCTCCCGTAAAAATAGGTCAGTATGATCATCTGTTATTTATTTAAAGTACTAGAATGGTTGTATATTACATGTTTAAATAAATTATATAACGCTAATAACTTATAAGCATTGCTAAAATCATTCAAAAGCTGAAAAGTATTGACACGGTGTGCCCAAAAAGTTCAAATATTCATCACGCAGCATTTCAAAAATTTAGTTAGATGTAGGTAAAAAAACAGCAGAAAATATGGTTAGAATTGTTTTTTTTACTGTAACTTTGAATGGACATTTGATGGGATGGATTTTTTTTAACTAATAGTCGATGTAGTCCTTACTATTTGATGCAGTACCAGAATTTAAAGATTTTATTAGTTCTAAATAATTATAATATTACTCTGAGGTTGATCAGATTTACCGTTTAATTCTTGACATCATACAACACACAACACCCAGCAGACCAGTAGGCAATTTTATTATGAAGCAAATTTTACCGGGCTGAAGTGGGAATCAAAGCCTAACATTGTGGAACTCACACACAGTTTACCTAAACTACGGGTAACTCCACTATTCGCATGACCATTATGCCAAAGAATAATTTTATTATATTACTAAAATGAAAGTCCGATAGTTTCATTTTTGAAGTCTCAGGATCTTGTAATGATTCTAAATTCCAGAATTAATATTTTCCTGTGTCCCATATCATGGATTTTATTGTTAATCTGAATTTACTTAGAATTCTTCACAGGATATCTTCGGCTTTTTTTAGTTCAATTTGAATCATTCTAGAATTCCATCATATTTCTTCTCTATTTTCCCCTGAAAAATCTTGAAAATATCTTAACTTTTCCAGTAACATAAGAGTTCATAGCATTACCTTTTGAAATCTCTTATAAATCACTCTCCAATTCCACAACTCCCTCATATTGGTATGAATTCCCAAGAGTTGGCTTAATTTTGTGTCCATTTTTCTCTATGAAATTCTTAAAATATGTTTAACAATTTCCTTGGTACACTCTTCAGAATGACCGTCACACTCTTCTCATACTTATCCGATAATTCTCTTTAAACTGCTTCGTAGGTAAGGTTGGTTTGAAATCATTTTCAGTATTACCTAAGTACTCAAGTACTTTGCCAAAGGTTTTGAAAGTCTCCCAGAAATAGCGCTTAAAATTAAAAAAAAAAAATCTCCATAGAAACATTGGGCAGAGTTCCATTGAATTTATTCTCACGATTCGAATCAGCATACTTCTTAAGTTTCATCATAAGAATTTTCTATGATTTCTCTTCCGGATTGTATTTTCTTTATTGACACAATCTCGATGCAATTGTCATCAGAGTTGACAAGACAATTGACACCGTCTTCAACCAGAGGTTGCACAGACTGAATATTTAAAACCAGACAACGGACAACACACCACACCCATTAGAACAGTAGGAAAATTTTCAGGTTGCCAAAATTTGCACCGGCTGGAGCGGGAATGAAACCTTCACTTCGTGGCACTCACAATACGCCTAAATGATGGGTGACGCTGCACGACCCCGAAGCCCACAAAGATGGATGTAATTCTACTCAGAAGTAGCTTGAAATTCTCACACTTAACTGTGAACTATTTTCAGAATTACCTTAAAATTCCAATAATGACCAACGTTGACGGCCTTTAATAATTGAAGTAGCAAGTTTGGCTTTTTCATTTGGTTTTTATTAGAGGGTAAATCAATTGCAGCGATATTTTTTAAAGCAACTTGTTTAAAAAATCTGGGAAAATCTGGAACATATTTAAAAAATCTGGAAATATACGTGGTCTGTCCGAGGGGGGCGACTCTATCTACGCTGCAGAAAAGATTGTATTTTGCTGTGGCTAGCTGCACGCACGCTGAGTAGATAAAAGGAAGATTTATGTCGATTTTGAAGATTTCCTGCAAAAAGATGAAGCACGATGCAAGTAGATGCGAGAAATGAAAGATGATTTTTCGAAGATTGATTAGCTAGTGTGAGATTTTTGAGCATCTAGAATTGAGATTTAGATGTGTCGCCCCCCTCGGGTCTGTCTGTGTATCTGGCAGGACGACTAAAAATCTGGAAAATCCAGATAAATCTGGAATACTGGCAACGCTGGCTGTGATGATTACTAGGCGATCCGCAATTCAAAAACCCAGTAAAATTTTACTGACTCCAGTAATCTAAAGTTAGTGTGTATGTACCAGCCGAAGCGACATTTCCAGATATTACATATATTATTTTCCCACACATGGACACGGACATGGACTATTCACCCAACCTGAGGACATCCGCAAGACGTATTCTGCGAGCCATTTGAGAATAGCGGAACCGAAGGCCATCCAATGGACGCAAAATGGGCGAACCACGGAAGGATCATCCGGGCAACCGAGGAGTCAGGTCAACCAAGGAAAGGAATACAATACATGTGCAGAGCGAGTTCTTTTTCTTCTTTTTCGCATTTCAAGCTTATTGCTTAGCGCATATTAGCTTATTGCGTGCTCTCAACTTAGTGTTCTAAATGCACTTCCACAGTTATTAATTGAGAGCTTTCGATGCCAATCATTACCAATGCATGAATTTGTATATTGTGTGGCAAGCACAATGATACTCTATGCCCAGGGAAGTCGAGAAAATTTCCAACCCGAAAGATTCCCTCGACCGGACCGGGAATCGAACCCGCCACCTCCGGCTTGGTAATACCGTGCCTTTACTGACTAGGCTATGAGGCCCCTGAGCAGAGCGAGTTCCATCCCACGGATTCACGGTTAGCGGTACCAAAGGTCATCCAAATAAAGCAAACATAATTGGTGAACACCGGAAGGATTATCCAATCAAGGAACATCGGCAAGGCGTGAGCTACCGAGACAGGAATCGGTCACAAGGGCATTAAGCATCCAAGAACTGATATGCAGGGAACAGGAGCGCAGAAGCTGCAAGATAGCCAAATAACATCGATCTAATACCGAAATCATGAACCGAAAACGGAGAACGGAGAGCGGTGCGATAGCGTCATCAGCGGCAGACGCAGGTCTTCACGGTGGGTAAGTTATGCCAGTCACAGAAATATACCAATTCAAGGACAGCACGTTGGACCAAGGATGAGGAAGGCGAATACTACAATGATCGAGAATCCAAGGAAGAATTCTTCAGAAATGTAGGACATTTCAGGGTGGGTGAGTATGTTCGGGAGTAACCTCACCCTACCCTAGCTACGCCACAGTCGTTTGTTCAGAAACTCTCCCAAATTCTTGCCACGTAGAATCGAACCATCTCTCCTCTCATACGGACACTACCAAGGAAGCTATAACAGATTGGTAGGTAGCGATAACGATCGGGATTAATGACGTCACTGCGGTGATCGTCTAGAGTAGTTCCACACCGAGTTCCACACAGATTCGCAAATCGTTTCGGATCGGTGTTTATAGACTTATTTGTTATTTTACACAGTTGTTTATTACTGTCCAAGATGTCATTTTGCATATATGGTTCCCTAGTTTTGCACACGACTAACACTTGAAAAGGGCTTATGCAAAAATGATACGCATCAATAGAAAAAAAAATATATCTCGCGAACAATTTGTTTGATCGAGATGGTGTCTTGCGCGAAGTTGCGGACAAGTATTGTGCCTTTCAAGAAAAAATATACATTGTAAAAAATTATTTAGTTATTAACAAAAAAAATAAAAATTATTAAAAAAATTCAAATTACTCAAATGGCATATTATTTTTTATTTTTTATTTATATTGTAGTTTAGATAAAGTGCTACTTATTAACAATGTGCGCTTGCTTGGCAACTCATAAACAAAAAAGTTATGAATTATTGAAAAAAAAGTACTATTTTCCAAAATACTACTTATAGTTATCGAATATCTTTGAAATGGTGTTATTATTAAACACATTAAATTTACAACAAAAAAGCTCACAATGCTTAAATTGCCCAAAGTTGTTATTTTCGAGATACGCGTAGGTTAAAATTCACTTATCGCATTATTTGAGCAATTTTCACACTTTTGAGATGTTGTTCGTGAGTGTTTTACCTTGAAAATATTTTTAACGAAAAGCCAATTCCATTTCCTTAAACTTTGCAGGTCACAGTTTTTCAATCAGACGCACAAGTCTCAAAACAACAAGCGTTGAAAATCAAGCCACTGAATGTCTGGTACCTAATTGCATACTTACCTAGGTACCATCTAATTCTTCATTGATACCTAGCCACTTGGTAAGAATATAACTGATATTTAAAGAGCTACTCAAGCATATCTTCATCAGTCACTAAAAGTAAGCAGTCTAAGTGGTTATCTGTGGAAAATAGAAATAGTTTGAAAGACGATGATTCAGTGCTGTTATACAAAGTTTCGTTTCTGTTAAGGTAAGCTTTTTATTCATTCGAACATAAGTTAAATGTATAAAAAAATAAATAAATTTATATTTTTACGTTTTTTTTTCAGCGTTCACCAGTACAAAGATATGGATAACCGACTCAATGTATTCAACATATAAAAAATGATGATGTAAGGTGTATAAAAAAGGATCTGCGAATTCTTTCAGAAAATACCAAACAGAACTTGAACACGATTGGATATTCCGGAGATACAATGAATTCCAATTTACGCATCTACGGATCTTGCCGTCGAGAAGTTGGTGAAAAACAAATCATCGCTGAAAACTCGGAAACTGTTGTCGGAAGGGTTTTGCCTGAAGTACCCAGCTGTCAACGATACCATCAACAATATCAGTGGCCACAACTACAACAACTGATGATAGATTTTCACAATCTGTTAACATCGAAATATTCAACCGGGGAATTGCTGGGATTCAAGTTTCACCGATTGATGCAAAGAAGTCAAACAACGTTTACTATCCTGAATATAAAATTTAGGAAATCAACCAAGAAGTGAGGAAGCATCTTTTCCAACTAGGACCCCAGGAGGACCAAACAAGTGCAACACAGGATCAGGGTGCCTTCCATTCATTTTGACTAAAAAAATGTTTTAAGAAATTATGGAATAATAAGACATTTTGAAAATATTTTGATTACGTAAACAACCAGAAAAGATTGTTAAGTTTGTGTTTGACACATAATACCTGCCAATTTTGCTACATGAGAGTCGCAATAAGCGATTTTGTAATTTATCTCACCCACTCTTCGCTCTTCACTCTTCGCGAAGAGGCGATCAGAAAAACGTTCATTGTGACTCTGTCAAAGCTAAATTTGCAGGTTTGATGTGTGAAACACAAACTTTACAATCTTTTCTTATTACTTACACATACAAAATGTCATCATAATATCCTATTATTCTATAATTTCATAAAACATTTTTTTAGTCAAAATGAATGGAAGGCACCCTGCACAGGATTTTGAAGAAATAATTCTTTAATTGAAAGAAAAATTTGGCAGACAAGATACCACAAGGAGTGAAAAACTACAGATTTTAACTGTGTTGCCCAAATCATGGACAATACAAAAATAATGGATGAATTTAACACCACAAGGTACTTCGAAACAGCAGCTAAAGAATTATTTGAAACTGATGGAGCACATTGCTTCAAAATGCTGTATCTCAGGAAATGCGCAATTTTGTTTTGCTGATAAGTGATTCTTATGTAAAAATGATGGGGTGCTGTCATAATAGAAATCTAAATATACTGATTCTGAGAAATTTCTATTTTAAGTTTTTAGACAAAATTATAAAATATTTGGCAACACTCTACAAACAATGTAAATTAATATTTAAATTTCTTGTCAAATTTTCTCATAAAAACACTCCAAAATGTGAATTGTATTTTTTTTTGTTTCGAAGGTTTTGTTAAAAGAAAGTAGTGCTTAATTGAAAATTACGAGAAATAGAAAATGCTCCCTTGGAGGGGTGCTTCGATCGGCACAAAAATTTGGATAATAAAAGTTCGACCAAAATAAACATCTTCCAAATTTGGTCAAAATCGGAAGAGGTCAAACGTTCGGGATAACCTTACCCCGAATTAAAGTCATACAATTCATCCCTTTGTACAGTTTTGATTTATAAAAAAAGGCAGTATGCATGCTCCAAACTTACAAATATTTTAAATTATTCATTGCAAATTATCATTATTTAGCCCCATCGAGATGCCAATGAATACAGTGATCTAAGTAGTTCTAACGCCCTAGTGTCTGAGTGTTGGTTGGAATTATTCCGAACGGATACGGCCACATAACCTCCTGCATTGCCTAAGCTCTTCTGTGCTAGATTACTGCTGTTTTCGGCTGCCCTCAAGTAAGCATTTTTGTTTTCAATTGTTGGTTCAAAAGATGGTCGGCTCATGTTGATGATAGTAGAGCTTATCGCTGTTGTAGGAAGTTCGGTTGTAGTGAAAACGTTAGTTGTAGTATCGTAATCAATCGTTGTTGTTGGGATATTTGTTGTAGCGTACTGCTCTGGAAACAAGTTAATCGCTATCGTATTAGATTCAATATCATCGGTCAGATGAGTATCACTATACAATGTGGTTGATGATTCGGTTAACAAATCTAAATTTGTAGATTTCAACTCATCGTAGCTTGTTGTTGTAGTTTCACTAGTATTGGATTCACTCCTATTTTTTAGATCCAGATAAGTGGTAGTACCAGTTAGTCTTTCAAACTGCGTACTTCTATATAAGGTGACGGGTGTTGAAACAGTGGTAGTAGATTTGTTCAAGCCTTTTTCCGTTCTGCTAAATTTAGATTTAACTACATGAATTTCACTGCTATCACCTTCTTGGCGGTCCATACTGATCAACGCACTGAGAAGTGCTTTCCTAGAATCTTCAACCGTTTTGTTGTAGTCATCATCACATGTTTGAATGAGTAACAAAATCAACCTTCGTACTGATTTGTTTGTGTCTGCAGTTTTCATAACATTCATCAAATGATCTGCTTCAGATTCATCCAAATCGCCAAACATTTGATTGGCTTTTTTTTGCATCGTTTCCATTAACTCGTTTTCATTTGATTCATCTGCACTCAGTTGGCTGTTGCTTTTTCCACGTCGAGAAGCTTTTGATGGTACTGTCGAATACCATCGCGATGTAGCAGGTGTTGTGGAAGCTACATAAGAAGTGGTTGTTTTTATCTGACTGCTGGGTAGGTACGTGTGAGCATTGTTAGTGATAGTTTTATCTTGTACTGCATCTTTTTCTAAATCCATTAAACCGTCGTTGATAGTTAAAGGGTCAAGGAACACAGTGTAAGAAAGTGTGGTCTTTGCATTTGGGGTTATTTTACCTGTACCTGAAATAAGTGGTGGAGCGATATTTACTGGGACGGTAGCGTCTTCAGAGTTCTCACCCTTAAGCTGTTTTGTTATGTAATGACCCTTGACCGAAGTTGGCATCGTCGTTGTAATGGGAATATCTGCTATTACTTTACCACTTTGTTGTAAAGCTTTGTCCGTTTTAAGCAAGCTATACATAGTTTTTCTTTTGTTTTTGCCTTCAAAAGAGTTGCGGCTAGAAATAATGGACTGACTTTGAGCTCTTTGCAGTTGTTCATCATCTTCTAATATTTCGTCTTGATCTGCTGGCAGGAACACGTTTCTAGCGCCTTTATGAGGTGAAATGAATTTGCCATGCTGTGGTGGTAGCAAATCAAAATATACGGTATGAGCAGAGCCTGAGTTTGAAGTCGTCAGTTCTTCTCTCCGGTGATGGGGAGCTGTTTTTGTTCCTAAAAAAGCTGTAGGATAGGCATTCGTTATAATTATAATATTAGCAGGTCCTTACCATAGGGTGTGATTGTCGGTGCTGAATAAAATTCTTGATGCGGTGCGACATAGCTTGAATTTCCAATGTTTTCATCAAAATCCTCAAGACTTTCAACTGTTCTAAAAGCTGAGGGTTTCAATGTTCCTAATTCCTCGTTGACTTCATCTGCTAGCTCATTTTTTGGTATATCGTCTGAAGTTTGGATACCTTTGACCTGCTTTTCTCTATAAACAGCTGCAGTTTTTTCTAGCTCTTCAGTAATCAGGTTGGAAGCAGGTGTTTTTTTCACATCATCGTTAGACTTAGCAATTTCTTTCAATGGATTAATTATTGTTGTCCAGGATATTTCAGTAGTTGTTTCTGCGTTCCCAATGGTAGTTTCACGCTTAACTGTAGTTGGTAATGTGACATCTGAGAAATCTAGCACTTCTAAATCATCAATTAAAGCCGCCCGAGGAGCTGGAGTTATTTGATTAAAAGGTAAGAAATATGATGTCTCTTCTGTAGATATATCTTCGTTTTTGGCATTTTCGATCTGATCGATATGATTGGATACTATTAACTGATGAGGTGCTTTTGGTCTTATTTCTGATAAAATCCGACGGAAAGTATTTGGGTCTTGTAAGTAAGCTGATAACGCATGAGTAAATACTTGCGCCAGCTCACGAATTTGTGGTGAACCAGATACACCAAAAACAGGATGTCTTGAATACTGCCCTTCCAAATCGTTACTAGAGTCGTCAGAGAAGCGAGTTTCGAATTCTAGGCTTTCAGTTGTGGTACTTGGAGTTTTTATATTGAAAAGTTGTTGATATCTATCGATTGTCCTTTGACTCAACAAAGTAGCGCTTACAGGTGGTCGTTTTTCTTCAATCGTCACATTTTCTGTGCTCAGCCGTATTTCGACAGGACTTATTGTTGTTGTGGCATTTAAACTTAAATCATTGGCAAAATAAAGAGCCAATGAGTGCAGTGCATTTGGTCCCGAGGACGGTGGCACTTCAACGCCAGGACGGTTTACTAGCATCGTTTCAGATATTTCAAGTTCCTGTAATGTCTTCATCATTTCCATCGCGTGCTTGGCTGCTCCTGAAACCGTCGCTGATGTTGGAATAGCTTGTAGAGTTTCCGATGTTGCTTTGTTAGTTACAGTTGGAATTGTTGGAGTGTAAAACGGTTTATCCTTCGCGTTAGTGCTAGGTTTTCTCGCAGTTGTATAGACAAAAGAGTTTAAACTTGGTTGTGTCAAAACATTTGAGCTATTGAATGGAGTCAACAATTTGCTATCCGACTTTTGATTCAAGGTACTTGTTTGATGTGTAGTGCTTCCTCGACTTACCGAGGAAATAGTAGTTGTTCTTAATATTTGCCGTTTTGTAGTAGTAGACGTAACCGGAGTCGTAGCTATCGATGGTTGCGTAATGAATAGCTTGGCATCGAAATTGAATGAATTTTTAGACCCAAACTGTTTGTCGCCATTATTTTCCAAAACTTTTGCCGACCGGTCTGACGGCATAACATTCATGTTATTTTTAATTATATTTTTTACTGGTTTGTCATAATTATAGCTATCTGACTTTGAATTAGTTGCTGCGAATTTTTTTTCAGGCGTTGGATAGCTGTATCCGTTCAGTGTTTTTCCACCGCGGAGGAATGAGGCCGTCTCATCTGCAGTTTGTGTTTCTTCAGAACTGTCTTTTTCAACTTTTGAAACTGTGTTGCTTCTGCGAATATTGTTTCGTTTCAATGAAATATCTTCCAAGTCAATACTTTCGTCAGATTCTTCCAAGCTTGTGTCCATACGCCTGTTCAATGCCAATGCTTCTAGATTCGGTTCTAATGGCCCGTTCAGAAGTGCATGCTTTCTTTTTGTGTTTAGTGAAAACTGTTCGGCAGACTTAATAGGTTGATGAATCGGATGTTTACTTTGAATTCTTGCTCGCTGTGCTTGGTTAAGCATTTCTGAACTTTCCGCATAGTGGTTTGGAGCAGCTGAACAATCCACTTTGAACCACCAGTCGCAAATCAAATCCAACTGTCTGAAAATGGTACCATTTGGACACAAAAATGATATTTTCTTGCCTACGTCACAAATGTGAAACACCTGAAAATAGAAAATAACAATATGTCATTATATTCTAAATTTATCTTTAATTGTAAGAAATTCTAATTCCAATAAATTATTATCATACACTGCACGTGTGAACAAATTAATCCGTTTGTCGCCATCGGCGAGATAAATCCTTGAGGCAGATACAGTCAACTCTCCACAAATCGTTTGAATATGAGCAAATATTTACAGATATTTTCATTTTCATGAAATTTTAAGCATTTTTTTACTCACGACAGTTTTTTTTTTGGTTTTACCAATGTAGTCTACGCCTACCTGCAAACTTTTAAAAAATCGATTTTTTTTTATTGTCCTAATCGAAAGTATATAAAGTCAAGAATATTTCCTCAAAAGATCAAGTTGATCCGATGAAAAAAGCTTCTTAGGGTTATTGTTTATGCGGGTCGCATGTCGGTTTTTGATTCTTGTCGAGAATTAGTCACTTCCCCAGGGGCACCAGAACATTTCAGGGATGTCCAATCGGTATCGTATTTACAACTATAACAGAGCAATCAAGCTGGATGCCAAACCAGAGTAACCCCGGAAACTCCGGAACCACGAATTCAACTACCATTTTCTTGACGGATTTTAAAACTTGATTAGATTCCTGACAAGATGCAACTTGTTGTGCATAATATATCGAGTTTCATATGGTTTTCGAAAACTACGTTGTTTTTTACGCGGTGTAAAAAGCGAAAATCGAAAAAAAAAATACATAAATAAATAAAAGATAGATTCAAAGATTGACACAAGGTGAGACAAAAGTTCGTATTGAGGTTTCCGAAGCCCGTGCATTATAAATATCAAAGGTCTTTTAGTATCAAACTTTCTCAAAAAAAAAAATCACAAAAATTGGTCATGTTTTCGAAAAGCAAAAGTTTGTTTCGGGAATATAAATTATATCATTTGTACCAACTTTGGAGGCGTGCAACTAGAAACATTTAACAGTGATTTAAAAGTTATTTTAGGTCAGGGCAAGATAGCGTTTTCCTTGAAGATTTTTTAACACTTTATTTTTTTCAAATTTAAAATAAATTACATTTCATTTTAACCAAGGTGATATAGGTCATGATATAGGGCAAATGGATGTAATGTCGGCCTAATCCTTGAGCAAAGTTGTTAGGCACTTCCTGGGCTATACTTTAACCTATTTAGATGCGTGGTTTGTGCAAAACTGTGGTTCCTAGTAATAAAGATGCAAAAAAGTAGGTTTTTTCATACTAATTTCCATACAAATTTCAAACGCGATGCGGAAAACCGGATTATAAACAATCGTCCCCAAATTTTGCACAGTAAATCTCAAATACCCAAATTTAACAAATAAAAATTGTTTTGAAAAAATTATCATGATGATCCATCCTAATATGTATGGGCCTAAATTAGGGGCAAGCTCTTCAAGCACAGACGAAACGCGTTCCGGGTGGTTCCGTTCGCAAACGACCTCTCACTCCGTGGTGGGATAAGGATTGCACCGACGCAAACAGCGAGAAGTCCGCCGCGTTTAAACGCTTCCGCAGACACGGTAAGGTCGGGGATTTCGAGCGGTACACCGACCTCGAGAAAACTTTTAAGAGCTTGATTAAAGCCAAGAAACGCGGATACTGGCGTCGGTTCGTCGAAGGTTTGTCGCGAGAGACTTCCATGAGAACACTCTGGAATGTCGGCAGGAGAATGCGAAACGCGTCATCACCGGTCAACGAAGACAAGGAGTACTCAGACAGTTGGATATTCAGCTTCGCGTGGAAAGTTTGCCCGGATTCGGCGTCGGTTCAAACCAACGTTCATGATCGTCCGTCGGGTAGTAACGAAATAGATTCCCCGTTTTCGATGGTGGAATTCTCACTTGCTCTCCTATCATGTAACAACTCAGCTCCAGGAATGGATAGAATCAAGTTTAACTTGCTCAAAAATCTCCCAGACGTCGCGAAGAGACGCTTGTTGAACTTATTCAATCAATTTCTGGAGCACAACATTGTTCCGGATGACTGGAGGCAAGTAAGTGTTATCGCCATTCGAAAACCCGGTAAACCCGCGTCGGATTATAACTCGTACCGTCCCGTCGCGATGCTGTCCTGTATACGGAAATTGTTGGAGAAAATGATTCTTTTTCGTCTAGACCAATGGGTCGAGTCGAATTGTTTACTTTCAGATACGCAATTTGGATTTCGGAGAGGCAAAGGAACGAGCGACTGTCTTGTGTTGCTTTCAACTGAAATTCAACTGGCCTATGCGCAAAAACAGCAAATGGGTTCAATTTTCTTGGACATTAAGGGGGCTTTTGATTCTGTTTGTATCGATGTCCTTTCGGATAAATTCCACGATAGTGGGCTTTCACCAATTATGAACAACTATTTGAGCAACTTGTTGTCTGAGAAATATATGAGCATTTCTCATGGAAACTCGACAACTTCACGAATTAGTTACATGGGTCTCCCCCAGGGCTCATGTTTAAGCCCCCTTCTTTATAATTTTTATGTAAAAGACATTGATGGTTGTCTTGATGAAAATTGCTCGCTAAGGCAGCTTGCAGATGACGGCGTTGTATCCGTTATAGGGCCTGCAAGGACCACTGCAAGATACCTTAGACAATTTGTCTACTTGGGCTATGAAGCTGGGTATTGAATTCTTTCCGGAGAAAACTGAGTTGGTTGTTTTTTCTAGGAAGCATCATCCTGCACAGTTACAGCTTCAACTAAAGGGTAGAAAAATCACTCAAAGTATTTCTTTCAAGTATTTAGGTGTCTGGTTCGATTCCAAATGCACATGGGGAAAACATATTGCGTATCTGAAACAAAAATGCCTTCGTACAATTACCGGAACTTGGTGGGGAGCACACCCGGAAGATCTGATTAGGTTGTACCGAACAACCATCCTTTCGGTTTTAGAGTACGGTAGCTTTTGCTTCCAATCCGCAGCAAAAACACACATCCTTAAGCTGCAACGGATTCAATACCGTTGCCTTCGTATTGCGCTAGGCTGTATGCACTCGACTCATACGATGAGCCTCGAAGTACTCGCAAGTGTTCTCCCACTGACAGATCGTTTCGCTGAGCTGTCTTTCCGGTTTCTCATCCGTTGTGAAGTAATGAATCCTTTGGTAATAGAACACTTTGAGAAGCTGCTCGACCGAAATCCTCAAACAAGATTCATGAGTTTGTACTATAAGTACATGACGCTGGAGGTTGGTCCTTCTTTATTAATCTCCAATCGTGATTGCTGTCAAGCCTTCTATAGTTCCTCTGTAAATATTGATCTGACCATGATGCAAGAAATCCATGGAATACCAGATCACCATCGGTCGATGGTTGTTCCCTCAATTTGTGCAATCAAGTACCACCATGTAAGTAACGATAAAAGAATTTTCACAGATGGGTCAACCATAAATGCTTCCACTGGATTTGGTGTATTTAATCAATTTCATAGCGCCTCTTATAAACTGCAGAAACCATGCTCAGTATACGTTGCGGAACTCGCAACTATATTTTACGCAGTAGAGCGAATTGCCTCACTACCTTCTGACCATTATTTCATTTTTACGGATAGTCTTAGCTCATTGGAGGCTATTCGTTCAATGAGGCCGATGAAGCACTCCTCGTATTTCCTATCACCTTAGCTTGGGTCCCATCTCATTGCTCAATTCCGGGTAATGAGAAAGCGGACTCATTGGCTAAGGTGGGCGCTATGGAAGGCGATATTTTTGAGCGACAAATCGCCTTCAACGAATTCTTCTCCATTGCTCGTCAGCAAGTCCTCATCAGTTGGCAACAAAAATGAAATGATGGTGAATTGGGAAGATGGTTACATTCTATTCTCCCACAGGTGAATATGAGCCGCGACTTTATACGTGTTATATCAAGGCTTATGTCCAATCACTGCTCGTTATACTGGCATTTCTATCGAATTGGGCTCTCAGGCAGCAATTTATGTGCGTTTGGCAGTGGTATCGAGCATGTTGTTTGGTCATGTACCTTACACCGTGTTTCCAGATCTGAGTTATCCACATCCCTCAGGGCCCGAGGAAAACAACCCGCGATACCCGTTAGAGATGTCTTGGCGAGCCGAGACCTCGACTATTTGAATATAATTTATGGGTTTTTAAAACGGATAGATTCGAGGATTTAGTAGTTAGTGTCATCTTGTGTTCTCCCAAGTTGTTAGCTGCCCATCGGTGAACCCTCATATTTGTCTTTTTCATCAGAGTGTCACCTAGTTCGAGATCAATAGCACATTGCTCCCCAAACCTTGTGTTCACAATCTCTAACCTGCCATCCATTTGTTACAATTTGTTACCTCTAACCTCGAGATAGCCGCGAGTAATCGGCCCCCGCTTTACTAACGTTAGTTTTAAGTAATTTTGTTGTCTAAACAATGAATATCGGCTCCGCAAAGCTACAGCAAATGAGCCTGGAAAAATAAATGAATTATTAAAAAAAAAAATCAATAGGCTTAGTTAAATATGGGGGGGGGGGGGGAGGGGGCTTACGGTATGCTTTCCGGTCCTCACTTATATCAATGAAAGTAAAGATAAAGACTAAAATAACTTCGGAGTTTCCCATCTCTCGAGTTGTTCGGATGGGTTATCCAAAAACATTTGCTCATAAAAGCAGTTGTAAAGCGAGTACTCCCATTCTCTTCCCTACTCTTTTGGTGCAATATAAAATGTCATTGGATTGTAATGATTATATTTCATTTTAATATATTCTACGATTTTCCAGGGTACTTTTTTCGATGCTGTTATATCCCCTGAAGCAAATATTGCGGTTGAAATAGGTCTCGGGTGGATCTCTTGATAAGTCAGAAATTAGCTTCACGTCTCATTCAGCCATATCGTTGGCAACCATCAAGGAAGCAACTCGTTGTATCGCATTGAAATAATCTGTATCATTACTCCACTCGTTTGCCGGTTTTTGCATGAAGGCGGTCGAAATTTTAAAAAGGAACCAGCACTGTTAGAAATGACGTTTGACTTGGGAACCCAATTGAAACGTAGCCCA